TAATTTAATTTAATTTAATTTAATTTATTGTTTTTATCATGTAAGAATGGAGAAGACAAAGGCTTGTAGCATCCCAAATCATTTCTTTTACTACTCTGGTATGTCTTGCTATCCAACCTGATTGGTGGTTATTCTCCTCTTTAGAAATATATACATAGGTACAGATCAATAGATCATGCTTCTGATTCTTCCATGAAATGTATGCATATATTTTGCAGCACAAACTGTCCTCGAACTGTAATTTTTGGTTTTACTATGGGAAGCACTCCGGTTGCTCGGACCAGCGGGGCACAATTGCTTTCACTGATGGGGAGGTATATTACCATGACTATATATGTTTTATAGTCAAATTTGCTGTATTTTAATTCATAAAGAGTAACTCCTTGTCTCTGATACTCAAAACAGTTCTCATGTCAATTTCTTTCTTTGCAGCGTAAACAAGGGTTATTCAGGTAAAATTCCAGCGCTTTGCTACTAAGTTTGCTCTGATTTTTTCCTATAAAAGAACAGCTTTAGTTCAACTTAATACAGTTTGGTAGTATAGCTCCACTTGTCAATTTTTAACCATTGAAATTTGAAAAGAAGACTTAGAAAAGTGAGCTTTATAAATATATAGACACAATTCTGTGCAACTTGGTACTCAACTAATTTTTCATGTTTCATAATGCCCTATGTCCAGATATTTTGATTTACTATAATGGCGACATCTGCTACAAAATTAGTTACATTACATGTCAGGTAGTCTGTAGCACTGTCTGTGACATCTAACATTAAAAATTCGTCTAGGAGAGAAAATTTCTTTTAACATTCAACATGGATTGTGAGATGCAGGCTTCAGCAGAAGCTGACGTTGAATCAATTTCAATGATCAGATTGGCAACACGAGATGCTTCAACCTTGGAGAAGACAAATAAAATACACTGGAAATTGGCTCCAAGCGATTGAACAACTTCATCTTCAGTAGGTATGAGTGTGAAATCTCTGATTAAATTTCATAGTTTCTTCAGTAGTTAATTAATATGTAGAGGAACTGGCCTTAACTAGCTAGCCTAAGAGTTCACCACCTAAGCCTAAACTCCTAGGTTGGGAGTTCAACTCCTGCCTATGGCTTGGAAACCTACAATTTCTGATGTTTCTAAAAATTAATAATAACATGTAGGGATAATGATATTGCTCACTTCTTGATGCAATTGCCATTGGCTTAGTTCAAGGAAAAGAAAAGAGCTCGAAGAAACAATCCTATCATATGGATGCAGGCAAATGGAGAAGACACGTGCATGTTTTTCTTCCCAAATATGCCTTGGTATGCCAAGCTCTTCAACCAATCAACCTCATAGTAATTTTAACATTGGAAAATTGATGTTTGGTTTAATTGATAAGTTTAATTAACATGGAACAAAAAATTGTAGAATAATTAACTAATCTCATAGAAATTAATTGGAATATGTTCGTTAATCTTGGATTTTGAGAGTTAAAAACAATAGAATAAGAGTTAGAAGCAGTATCATTAACAGCATTGGCTATTTCAAAAGATTATTCTGTTCATGATGAATCAACTGTCATTATAAAATAAGAATTTCTGAAAACCTGGTTATTACAGCATTCATCCTAAGAAGAAAATTGGAATGATCTAAGCTTCATAAACTTTGCATTCTTCATCAGCAGGGTTTGATTTGCAGAAATCCTCCAAGGGATCACCACTTCCTGCAGCAGGCATTCCAGGCCACTTGCTTGCCACAAGATGCGCCAAGTCAACGACCCTTTGGCTGCAATTACCCATCATGTTACTGACTAGTAAGGCACAAATATGGTTGTAGTTAGAAACAGGAAAGTTTTTTAGGAATGTATGCTAACCTGTATCCCCATTCATTGTCATACCAGGCCACCACCTTAACCATGTCGTCTCCCATTACCATGGTTAGTGAAGAGTCAATGGTAGAAGAAACATCACTGCACCTGAAATCCACTGACACAAGAGGAACATCACAGATGGCCAATATGCCCTTCAATGGCCCTTCAGCTGCTTTTCTAAAGGCAGCGTTGACATCCTCAGCTGTAATCCCCTTCTTCTCAACATTCACAACAAGGTCAACCACTGAAACATTTGGTGTTGGTACATGGAGTGCAATACCATTGAGCTTGCCCTTCAGCTGGGGTAGTACAAGAGAGACAGCCTTGGCTGCACCGGTACTTGTTGGCACTATGTTCAATGCTGCGGCCCTAGCTCTCCTCAAGTCACGGTGTGAAGCATCCAAGAGTCTTTGCACAATTGCAAGCAACAATTTAGCCTTCTTTGTTCAAATAAATCTCCAACTTTTGCTGTTGGAATTTATTTAGAATTCAAAATTCTTTGAATTAGCTTAAGCTCTGAATCCTGATAGTATTTTGGTGAATGCAAATACCTGATCTCCAGTATATGAATGGGTGGTTGTCATTGTTCCCTTGACAATTCCTGCACATCAGTTTCCAACCTTCAATGAAGTCAAAGAAAACTCATAACTGTGGTTATCTGAAATTTGCGTGAACTGATTGAGTTTACATCTAAGTGAATGTAAAGAAGTGCTTACCCAATTCTTCATCCATGACTTTCACAAAAGGGGCCAAACAATTTGTGGTGCAAGAGGCATTACTGCAATTACCGACATTGAACCACTTATAAATTATAGCATCAAGAACTAGAAAAAAATTTTCACGCTGCTTTATGAGCAATCATTTCTTTGGAGGTACTAACCTTATGATGTTTGAGACCTCGTGAGAGTAGTCACCTTCGTTGACTCCAACAACATAAGTTGGAATGTCTGCACCTTTTGCTGGAGCAGTGATGATAACTTTCTTAGCACCAGCTTGAATGTGCTTCCCAGCTCCAGGGCCATCCACAAAAACTCCTGTTCCCTGAAGAATGCATATGAATTTATCCAGTCATCTAAAAAGACTACTAAAATTTTGTCATTAATTAAATTTCCATCCCTTTGCATGGTTCAGTAATCCAGTAGAGTTGTTGAAAAGATTGCTACTATGAAACTGGAACCTGAAGTGTTTGTGCTGGTGGGAGAAACTATGCTTTAGAGAACTGCAATTGATGAGAAAGTGGTGCGAGAACCCACCTCAATGACAATATCAATGCCAAGATCAGCCCACGGAAGCTTGAGAGGATCCCTGTTAGAGACAACCTTAATTGGCTTGCCATCAGCACTAATGGTTGTATCATCCACAGTTTTGACTTCTGCTTTGAAAGTTCCAAACATTGAATCGAATTTCAACAAGTGTGAAGCCTATGTTTTTATGGCACACCATAAGTTGATGAATGTAACTAATTAATATCACATGCTAATGTTAACTATAGTCAGGGAAACTGTCAGTTACTTCCATTCTTGACACCAACGCTGTCATTAACAACAACCAAATCAAGGGGTGAGTCTTCCCGGCCATGCCAGCACCGAAGGAGGTTTCTACCAATGCGTCCAAATCCATTGATTGCAACCTTCAATTTGGCAACTGTTTCTCTCCTGACAGGAGTTGATGCTACTGTCTAAATTTGGAAATACCCATCAGAAGTCAGAACCACAACAATGGTGCCTCACAACAAACTATATTTTAGGAACATAAGGTTCATGTTGAAAGCACTTTGTACGTTTTTTTGTATATTTTTACAAGATAGCTGATTATTCACAAGGATGGTGCACCTTTTCTTTCATAGAAGACATCATGAAATTCATGAAAAGTTGTAGGCAGGGAAAGTTTCTTTCATGCAGCCTAATCCAAAGCTCAGAAGACCTGATCAATAGTTTTACTTTTTTTAGAAAAAAAAGATGAGATTATTAAAAGAATATACAAAACAAAGTGTTTATATGGACTCAGAACTCCAGAACAGCTTAATTATGCCGAATATTGCAAGAAAGCACTGACCTTTTTTAGAAAGATATTACTATGACTGGTCTAATCTCTGTGCGCAAGCATAAAACAAGAAAGAAAATTCAGAAAAGATTAGAAGGCTGAAGTAGGCAATCAACCTTAGGAGTAAGCTGAGCAGCCACCACCTCAAAAAAAGGAAGTTCCTCTGGCATTTGTAGGATATGTCACGCAAGAGTTGGAACGGAGACTAGAAACTTGGCTACTTCTAGCCTCTGCAAAACAAAATCAGAAATGAATATCCCAGAAAACTTAAGGGAAAAAGAGAAAACCAAGAAGAAAAGGATAGACCTTAGAAATGCATTGGGTTGAGAAGGAGCTGCTCTTAGATGGAATCTTGGTGCCTCTGGGGATTCTTGAAGAAAAAGGATAGACCTTAGAAAACTTAATTTGTCCCTTTGTTGGACTGTACTCGTTCGATCAACCGAGTTTTATATTTCTTTGCATTGTCCGGCGTGGCGGCGGCGTCACCAGGCGCCCCTTTTGACGGCCACCCAGACTCGGAAACTGTGATCTCGATCGTCTGATTACCGAACCCCAGAGCGTTTATTGCCAATCT